TTCTGACCTCCACCCGCAGGAGGGACCCCCGGAAGGAGCACGAGCCAAAGAAACAGGAGGAGACCCCCCCCTCCGTAAGGACTGAGGGACCCCAAATCGGGGGAGGCTTTGGGGGATTTGGGGAATTTCCACTGTAACCGACCCCGGGTCAGTGGGGTGGGGCTGGGACCCCTCTTTGGTGTGAGTGAACCCACAGGGGACTTGAACTCCTCAAATCCCATTTCTTGGGGAATTCTGGGAATTTCCTGCTGCGCTGCCCCTCCCCCCGCCCTCCCCCACAGTTCAGCTATGGGCAGTCTGAGACTGCTTTTATGGGATGGCTGTGACCCCCCCCTTTTTGGGGTGCATGACCCCCTGGAGCTCTTTGTCCCCCTCAAATCCTGTTTTTCTGAGAGCTTGGAGAGTTTTTTCCATAATTTTTTCCCCGTTCAACCACCAGGGCAACTCTGATGTCTCTGGCCCCTTGTGGGGGGTTGTGACCCCCTGCTTTTGTGAGCCTCTTTTTTCCCCTCAAATCCCATTTTGGGAATTTTTCCCTGTTTTCCCTGCAGTTCAGCCATGCCAGCAAATACGCCGCGCTCTCCATGGACGGGGAGGATGAAGGTGATGATGAAGAAGGAGCCGAGTAACACCTTCCTCCCCCTCCCCCTCCTCCTCCTCCTCCTCAGCCGCTGCAGGAACCTCTGGAGGTTCCCAAAAATCCCAACCTTGATCCAGGCGAGACGGAAATAAAACCTAAAACTCATGAATTCCCGCAGCTATGGCTTCTTAAACCCCCCCCCCCAAAAAAAAAACACCCCCAAATGTGCCAGAATCRCCTCAAAATCAGCACAGGGAGGGGAGGGCTAATTCCAAGAATTTTCTCAAAGGAAAACCATGTTTTCCATGGAATAAGGGGTGAGGAAGAGTTGGCCCTCCTCACTGGAGTGGGGCTGGGGGCTGTGGGGACACATCCAACACCCCCAAATGCTCTGGGGTCAGGGATCCCACTCAATCCCCGATTTCCTCAGCTCTGGAATATCARTTTCACCCTGGACACCTTCATCATCATCCTCCTCGCAGGTGTCCCCCCAGTTCCCCCACCCCTCACATGGGAAAACCTGGATTTCCACCCCAGAACCTCAGGATATTCCGGGATTTGGGATTTGGGATGGGCTGTAAAAATGTGCATAAAGAACCTTCCCAGAGGATTTGGGAGGTCCGGGGGGGGGGCGGGTTTGGGGTTCTCCCACCCCAGGTTTGGGGGTRTTTTGTTTTCTCCAATAAAACGAGCTTGAAAAGATCTGGAAAGGCCCCAAATCCTTCCCCAAATCTGCTCCCCCACAGTGAAGAGCACAGGGGTTCCCAAAGCTGCCCAGGATGAATTTCCTGTCCTGACATTGGCCTTCCTCCCTCTGGCCTCCTCTTCCTCCTTCCTTTCTTCTTTTTTGCTTCCTTCTCTTTCCTCATTTCATCCTTCCTTCTTTTTCCTTTCTCATCTGTGTTTCTTTTTTCCTGTTTTTCCTCCTTCCTATTCTGTTTCCTTATTTCTTCCTCCATCGTTCCATCTGCTTCTTCCCTTTCCTCCTTTCTCCTCTTTCCTTCCTCCTCCTCCTCTCTCTCCTTCCTCCCATTCTTCCTTCTCTTTTTTTCCTTTATTTCCTCCTTTCATCTTTGCTCCTCTTCCATCTCCTCATCCCTTACTCTTCCTCCTCTTCCTCAATGTTCCTCCTGTACCTTCATCCTGATCCTTCCCTCCTTCCTCCCCTCCCCCCTCTAATTACCGGTAATTAATTAGGGGCGGGGGGCAGCGCTGAGCCCCGGGATGCTCCCCCCTGGCCCTTCCTCATCCCTCGGCTCCTTCCCGGCCCTTCCCAACCGCTGGAATGCCGGAACCCCCTCCCCCCGCCGCTGGAATGCGGGGCCCCCCCCGCAGCGGCTCCGGCCCTACAAAGGGGGGTCTGTCCTGGCCGGGATGGGGGGGGACCCCACAGCCCCAACCGGGAGGGGCCTG